GCCAAAATTGCTGCACTAAATGCACGACAATGTTACGTTCACTATGACAACTGCAAAAAAACTGGTACGTAATTCAATTTGAAACCTTTTAAAATGTGTTTGCACATTGATAGAGAATTACAACATTTAATGAATGAGGTCACAAATTTAATTTTGATTATCCATAGCGAAATTCCCATGGGCTGGCCAAAATGTTGGTATCGATCGTGAAAGCGGTCGTTACCGTGCCACTAATCAATCAATTTATCGCATCACTTTGAAATGGTTTCGTCAATTTGAACTGGCCAATGCAACAGTCATGAATTCGTATCGGGCGGCAAAAAACCCAAAGTAAATTCAATTATTTTACAATGTAATTGTTTTCATATTTCGTAACTGTTTTCAATTGTTCTCACATTAAATGTAAAATAGGAAGCGATATCGCGATTTTGCGACAATGATACACGATCGACAAACAAGGATTGGATGTGCTGCAGTCAGATTTAGATATAAACAATTTTATTACCTTTATTTGGTGTGCAATTACTCTGTGGGTGCTCTACAAAATCGGAAAATTTATATACCTGGTACACCTTACACTGGTTGCGTCGCTGGTCGGAGTATGGATTACCCGAGTTTGTGTGCCAAAAATGAACCGATTAAATCGGTTCCATACGCCATTGCCCGTGCACAAAAACCTGGTGTCACACGTCAGGTGAATCCATTGTCGTACTTTGGGATACAATCGCCAACCAATAGTCTTCAACAACTGCCGAACAATATTCAACAGCGACCAAATAACTTTGTAATGCCATCAAATCGGTTCCAACCGCCGTTGAATAGCTATGGTGTAGTAAATTTAAACCAAGAACAAACGGGACGAAAGAAAACCAAGCCGAAACACAAACGAATTAAGATCCGCAGCAAGGGACGAAAAAAGAGTCAAAAGAAAGCTCGAGAAAACAATCGTCGGACCCAAAGGAACAGTCGAGCAGCCAGAGTAAATAAAAGAAATCGATCCAATAGTAAGAATAGTCGAAGAAAAACGAATGAACGAAATCAAACTCAAATTCCGAGTCAACCCCAACAAATGATGTTTCCAAATCCGTTCATTTTCTACTTCGGTTAACTTTAGAATAACAGCCACTTGGCAAAAGCGTGTTTTATTTATCGAAACTATAAAATCATTTACATTTTCACTTTTGTTTTGATTCTTTCATTCGCCGTCTCGAGCTGCTGCTGTTGACGCCAACTATTTTCCAACCCAAACAAAATCTCCATCTGATTACCGACTTTCAACTCTCAGGCATATTTGTTGTGTATAAACGACGTTGTGCATGTTTCTCACGTCCAAAACCACTTGTGATATCTCTTTTATTCACAATTATATGCCCATTACGTAGCAAACACTTCTAAATCCGATTTACATTACGGACTGAGAACTGAGCATCGGCTGAAGCTGAATCTTCGATTCAATTGCTGTTGCTAACATTTTGAACAAGAACAACAAATACCACTGTATCACTGTCAACGTTGTTTGTTCTGTGGTTCAGCGGAATGTCAATGTAAATATTTTATTACACACATTGGACATATAGCCTTAGCACACCTCTATCAAATGGTTTTGTCATGATGATGGTGTTTTTTAGCACTACATGAAATGTAGAGCTACTAATCTGCTTCTTTTTTTTCTTAATACTTTTTGAGTGATGAAACGAATTATGGTGAATTTGAATTTTATGCTCATATTTTTTATTTAATTTAAAACAGGTGCAGTAACGACAAATAAGTGCACAGTATCTCAAAGCACCAATCAAATTTTTATTATCAAATGTTTTTTAAAAATTACATTAATTTTCCGTATAATATTTTCTGAGTCTTGAACAGAATTAAAGTGATTTTAGATTCTATGCACATATTATTTATTTAATTTAAACCAAAGGCAGTATATTTCAAAAAAGAAATAAAACCAAGATCTTGTAATTCATTTTGCAAATAAATATATTACTTCAAAGTTACTTTGATGAAATACATTTCATGTAGTGCGCCAAAAAATAGTTTGTTGTGAAACAACAAAATAGATTAAGTAACTGAAAACTCAAGAACGCTCTGGGGTCTTGTTTCCTCTTAGCCGCTACATTTCGAATAATGCACACTTTATCAGCAACTCAAATGAACATCTGCAGCATGTTAATTTGATGAAATGACAGTGAAAATCGTAGTTAATAAACAATACAAGATGACTTTTGTTTATTTCTAACGATGTCACGCACAGTCAAGATGTTGAAGGATGGTTTTTTTTTTTGAAGAAAATCAATGTTTGTGAATTCATAAAGGGTTTTTTTTATTCTTAATCAGTTCATTATTTTATTTATTATTTTTGATCGATTGAAATTCGAAGTGTTTCACTTAAATATGGGGAATAAAACGATTGATTAAAGAAATTGATGAGTTTCAAAGGGGAACATTTATTCAAAGCTTATTTATTATTCGACTTCGCTTGAGCATTCATTCAATGTTCATTACAGCTCACATTTATTTGAACCATCACTATACACAGAGAGAAATTAGGTTGGTACGATTGCACATGTCTTTTGAAATCTGTCGAAAAAGCAAATTTTTTTCTATGGCGGTTTTGATTTGTCCAACTATTTTGTAATTTTGAAAGTTTGCAAACTGTACAGACGTCATATAAATAAGTTGCTTTTTGACATATTCCAAAAGTCATCTTCAATCGTACCAACCTAATTTCTCTCTGTGTATTAACTCATGACTCGTGATTTTGTTTTCATTTTACTTTTGGTCTATATTTGAATATTTTTTCTCCAAAATTTCCATTCCATTTCCAATGATTTTCCACTTTTCGTCTCTTTATGATTTTTTTCTGGGATTTGTTTTTTTTTATCTCTTCACTGACCTTAAAATAGCATTCGTTATTACGGTAGACTTTTTTATCTGCCAAAATCGCTTACATTTGCTTGATGTAAAAATGTATATCATCTCTTTGAAAACCCGTCATTTTAGAATAACGTTTACGACGGCAAATCCAAGCTCCGAAAACAGCAGATCTCTTAATAAGTTCTCAACTGATTTTGAGTATAATGATGACATTGAGAGTTGCAAGAAGAGCAGTTCATCATCAATCAAAGCGCTTTTGGAATCAGGCAATCCAACAGTGTATATTTCTCCCTCTCTCCCGCTCTCAGTTTTTTTTCCTCACCACTCAAAATTGAATACAAATGTTTGTATATGCATAAAGATGTGAATTTATCACTGCTGGAGAGCAAAAGCCCACAATAAAATCAAATGTGCAGAATATAAATATATGTAAACTGGATAGAAAAAGATGTGGAAGAAGAAGGGGAAGAAGCAAGAGTGCATACCATAAAGTTTCGTTCGTTGAGACATCAAGTGTGTATGTGTGTTTTGCCTTTGCGTTCATTCGTTCGTTCGAAGGCATCGAATAATGACGTTACATTTGCAGCACATTGTGCGCGTAAATACCTTTATGAATAATAATCGTAAACAAACCCAAAGCACTCTACTCGAATCGAGTTAAATACGTAGAACATTCGCTTGTTAAAGCTGGCGCAGAAAAAGTTAAACGGAGAGTGATAGCGAGATAAAGAGAGAGAGAGAAAGATTGAGAGAGTGAGAGCGACAAAAAAATGCACGGTGACATCAACAACAGCGCTAACCATTTACGCAGCTCAGGAAAAACATTCGCAAAAGCTAATAAAATATGGATAAAGTTATGTAATTTTCAAGTTACATGTCACCTGCAACCTGGCAAATGCCATTCTAAAACAATTTCATTCGTATGCTCACTTTTTTCTTGCTCGCTCTGTTTCTCCCTCTCACTCGCTCGCCTCTTCTTCTCACGCTTATTATAACGGTATCCGCGCGATATTCTGGGATGAAAAAAAAACCTCCCCAACAAACGGTATACATTAGAATGTGTAATGCAGGTGAAAATCACAAGTTCGCAATTTTGCCCGTTCGAAGAAGACTGAGAGGAAAGAGCGAGAGAGAGAGAGAGAGAAAAAAACGGTGCCAGTGATAAGTTGATTTGGCATTTAAGCCATGTTCACTGTGTGCGTAAATCATCCCCTTGCAAGCTTTTATGGTTACAATTGCTATTGCTACCACTGCGTTGCTACGCTGCTCCTTTTGCTTCGCCTAAATCGCCAATTTTCCTAGAAGCTACACGCATACTGCACCTTATGGTGATTCACAACATGCCAGCTCGTTTCATTTGAGGTTTTGCGCTGCTTTCATTAAATCTTCATAATATTCTCGTTAGATTATAAATCTCTCCAATATTAATGCTAATAATTGCACACTCACCGTCAACAATGCGCGTGTCTCGTTTCATAATCAAACCTTTGCTTGAAATCGAGTACCAATACTTTTAGCATTTTATTGTTTTTGATAGCTATGTGAAACACTCGAATTTTTCAGCTGCCATTTTCACTTGGAATTCAAGCTATGAAATCATCAAAGGTAGTGTGTATGTATGTATTCACCGACAAATTGTCATTGCCTCTTGAAATTTTAATTAAATCGATCGAACATGCACAAGTGCATATTTATTGGAAATGAAAACAAAGCCTTTTTTTTATCAATTGAAAATATACTGCTTTTCAATATTTCAAAACGTTTCGGCATTTTCAATCGATAAATACTCATCGTTTCTCTTTGTCGAGCGCATATTGAAACGTTTAATTTGAAAATGAACAGTTTGCTAAGGAAATTTGACTAATTGGATGAAAAATGAGTGAAAATGAGGGATGTTAAGAAAATCATTTGCAAATTGATAACAAACAGTTATACAGCTTTGGTATTTTTTGAACATATTATCACACAATGTTGCCCATAGAATATGCTGAGAATGCCTTACCTTCTATGCCTTATGTAAAGTAGATCGAACTCCCTGTTTATTGCCATCATTCCTGTATCTTTGAAAATCCTCCAAACAAAAAAATAACAAAACAGAAACGAAAGCAATCAAGAACAACCGCTTCAAATGTAATTTATAACTTTATTTCTTCTGATTTCCATTTGTTTTACTCAATTGATACCATTTCCCTTTCTATTGATTAGTGATTCAACGATAGTAGTCTAATTTAGATTGAAATACCATTTTTTTTGGTTGTTTTTAAATATTTGATCTATTAAACAGTCGGTTTTATCGATGAGTTTTGGGAACGAAAAAAAAACGTGACGCAGCCAATTTGAACTGTGTTGCTGTACTACTTTGAACATTGAATATTTTCTGAATTATATTCTTTCAAATTTCTTGTTCAATGTGAAGCATGTGATATGAAGCTCAGATTCAAATCCGTTATTTGGCATCACATCAAAGTAGTTGCATCTTTGAAAACAAGCTATCATTCGAAAAGTTAGTGCAATCATTAAATGTATTGAACTAAACAACATAAACTGATCCGTTGAAATTAAATCTAGAGTATAACTTAATCGAATTTCGCATTAATATATTATTCTGTTTCACTAGAGTTCGAAAATGTGTGAAATTTAACTTAAATTCCATGTAAATGTACACAAATACGTAACGTATGTATATATTCCATTCGATAGTGGAAATATATTGTTTAATTAATGTTAAAATGCAATCCAATCCATTGCAAATGAGTGTGTGTATGTGTGTGTGATTGCATAATAGATGAACTTATTTACACGATCGATAAAAATGTTTATGACACAGAAAACTGTTTTGCGGGGAGGTTGGGAGGAGGGATAAAAGATGTATGTGTGTTCGTTAAATATTTGCACCACCACCGAATGACATCGGCTATCAATTCGATATGTCACCGCGACATTCTTCTTCTTGTTCGCCACTTGTTTGACTTGTCAAAGGTTGTATAAACTGGAAAATACATTGTTTGTTGAGTGAGTGTGTGTTTTGGTTTGTGTGAATCGAAATTGTTCAAATATACATAAAGACAGATCCATCTAAAAAGTGGTTTAGCCGCGATAGTTTCTCCAAGTTCTCTACAATTACGTATAAATTGTTTGAATAAAATCCTAAAATGTAATTTCTAAAATGCAATGAATATATCGCATGGTGGATGTGTGTCTATTGAGATGGTTTTCAGCTGGGGAAGAAATCGGAACTTGGATCTTGCAGTCTCTTGAGCATTGCATTTCGATGTAACCAATACGGTGGTGGATCAGGCGGTTGATTTGGCCCTTTTAATAACATTTTATTTTTCAATATTCCTTTTGGATTGGGTGGTCCGCCGACGCCAACACCACCACCACCACCGCCGCCTCCGCCATCGAATGACAACGCACCACTCACACTCGGATTGTTACTGTACTCAAACATAACTGGGTCAGCGACTTTTACCGAATTGCCAGCCGTTGCACGCAACGGTGCCTCTTTCTTCCGTATCGATTCGCATGTTTCTTTCATTTTACACAATTGCTCCTGCAGATTGCGATATTCTTCGAGGAAACGTTCCAATTGCGCTGCATGATAGTCGTATGCATTGGTAGCGGGTGCCGTTGTGTTTGACGTTGATGAGCTAGGAGTAATAATCATTTGCTGTTTGTGCATTGCAAACGATGAGAAATCGAGAAGGGGTGTTTCATCACCGCCAACAACCAATTTCAACGATGGCTCCTTGCATGGCGATGATGGCAACGATGGATTTCGCTTGTGACTCATGTAGTTAGCCGTCTGTGGCTTTCCACTATTCGATTGAGTAGTCAAATTGAGGAAGCTATTCGAACGCCCGTTGTTGCTTGATTGATTATTTCTTGTGCAAATTGAAAGTGGATAATTGCCGAACGATTCGCTTGATAGACGTCGACCAAATAAATCACTATCAGCAAATGTACTGCTTCCGTACTGGCTGGATGAATCGGTAAGCAGTGGCGATTGGCTTTCGGATGGTGTCGGTTTTCGGCTCGATATATGCTTTTTCCGCGGAAAAGTGCAAAATGGATTACTTGGCGCTGATTTATTGTTATTGCTAGTCGTGTTGCTGCTGCTGCCGATGCTGGTTTGCGTGTACAATTGAGCTCTCGATGATGTTGCTACGCTTGTTTGCATCGACATTCGGCTTATGTCTAATAGGTCTGGATACTTTTTATCAATATCACAATCACTTTCACATACCCGTCCCTCACTGCCACTCTGATACACTTTTTCCCGCCCGTAATTCTTCTCGTAACCGGCACTCGCCATCGTCGAGATTCTCTCACGTTTCGCAATGTGATGCGACCAGGCTGCATTCGCTTTGCCACGCTTCGATACTTTACCATCATACAAATCGATTGATGAATCCGTTGCCGAATCACTGTAAACGGAAACGATATAATTGGTAAATATTGCAAACGTTTATACTTTTAATTTATCGCAAATTTTAATCGCTTAAAAAATGCGAAATTATTGCACGTAATAATGGAAACTTCCGAACAAGTATGATTAAACATTTCATAAATATTGGAAAAGTGAAAATTGAATTTTTATTTGAAAAAAGAAAAAAAAACAATATGTGTGATTAATCTCACCTTAATTCAATAAGCCGCGGTATATGCAGATCGCTATCGGTGAGTTGAAGCGGTTTCATGTTGACGCCATCGGTTTGATTCGATATGATATCATTTTTGGCACTTCTGCTAACCGATGTTGCAACGGTGGTTGGGTTCCAGTTCCGAACATCATCTATTTTAATATTGCTTATCGTTGCGTTGTTACTTTCCGCGGTATTATCTTCCAAACCGTCAGTTCCATCATCTTCGCTTGGTACATTACGATAATCACCGTTTCGGCGCACATGTCCGCCAACCACAGCGATACCATTCTCCGCGTACATCTTCATAAATGCAGTTCGATCACCGCGGGGACTTTTACTAACATTATAATTAGGCTTATTACTCAACTCAATTTTCTCATAACTATCGGTGCGACCTTGTGTATTCCATCGGCCCAGCTTTTTTCTCCGTTTCAACGTGCACACCCCAATCACCAGCAGCACAGTGGCAATTACAAAGAAAACAAAAGCGATTACACTCGCCAAAATTACCTTTGTGCTGAGAATTGTTTCGGATGGCTTTTTTGATACGGCCAATGTAAGACTCACTTCCACTTTGCCAGCCTTATTTTCACCGATACAAACGTACGTGCCTTGATCTTGGATGTCAGCTGTTAATATTGTGAGATTGCTTGCATTTTGCTGGTATTTATACAATTTTCGTCCTTGTGCGCTGGTCGTGGTGGTGGTGGATGTGCTTGCCAAGTTTGTATTTCCCGTGAGATTTGCAATCACCCGATTGCGTATCATCCATCGTACATGCGGTTCGGGTATGCCACCGACCGCACAGCTCAACGTCACATTTCGGCCTTCGACCGCGTGAAAACGGTCAATCGCCGAAAAAATGCTCGGCTTACACGCGTATTCGTCCAAATCGATTTTATCCCATGTCTTTGAATGTAATCGTTCGGGATATTGACACATCGGTGGTATATTGTACGGGATATTTTCACGTAGCATCCATTCGCGTAGCGGTCGTAAAGTACACGAACAATTCCATGGATTGCCAGCCAATTCAAGACCGTGCAAATTCTGTAGCGATATCACAGCAGCCACACGGATTTCAGTTAATTTGTTACTGTCTAACTTGAGCCACTCCAACGATGTTTCTAAGCCAGTGAATGCGCGCACATCGATTGTGGTGAGCAGACAATTTGACAGTTCCAATCGTACGAGTTGTGCCACCTTAACGAATGCATCGTTGTGAATGCGCTGAATGGGATTGCCAATCAATTTCAATTCACGCAGTTCGCTCACCGATTCAAATGCATGCGACGGTATCATACCCAATAGATTATCGCTTAAATCTAATTCAACTAAATTGTTGAGTTTCCTAAACGCAAACCGTTCGATCGTTTTAAGATGGCATTTCGTTAAGAAGAGCTTTTGCAAATTTAACAAATTCGCTCGACTGAATACATCATTCGATATCGCTTGTATATCGTTGCGCGATAAATCGAGAATCTGGGTGCCGGCATCTAATTTCGTTGGTATTGCACTTAAATTGGCATTAAGGCACAGTACCGATTCTTTACCACTTTTCCATTTGCATTCACATAAATGCGGACACGCCGCCATTGTTTCGATGCTGCCGAACAGAAGCACTACAACTATAAATGTACATCCAATGGTCCATATGCTTGGCAATTGAGCGGCTTGCGAACGACGATTGATCGTTTCTTCCATGGCCTATCACGTGCTCTGGTGCGGTTTCATGTGCTCTTCTGCATCGAATGAATGTCGGCTGCATCGTCGCCATAACGATGTGATGTCAGCGCTTCTCATATCTTCATAACCAATTCGACTTGTGCTCGACTCGCCACTCGGATTTTTTGTTGCTTTCTTTCTTTCCTCTCTATCTCGCTCTCACTTTGTCCTTTGCTCGCGCGTTCACTCGTTCTCGTTCGTATTTTACGTTTGTGCTATTATTATTATTAATGACGGTAATAATCCTTTTGGGTGTACTGTTTTGGCCACGTTATATCAAAAAGTTTTGTTCCGGTTCTGTTGTCGTAGTTTGTTGTTTATGGCATCTGCAACGATAGAAAAGAATACCGAATGTATTAAAAAAAAAAATGTGTTGAAATGCAACCAGCACTGAAATTCAACATAAAAAAGATGTCTGATTAAATTCGAGGTTGGAAAAAAAACTGTCGCTTGCATGAAAAGATATGAAAAGAAAGTCTTTGATGTCACCACTTTTTGCGTTGCAAAATAATAATAAGAATCTTCCAGTTGTGTTTTCGTCAACAATTTTGCTAGAAGACTTTTGCTAAGTGGAAATATTCGCTATTTCTCTCTCTCTCCCTCTATGTGCATATCCATGACGGATTATTGAAAGGATTTCTCAACATGAAAATTCTTTTGTGCCATAGCGGTGTACAATGGTGAATCTCAGGTACGCAAATTGGTGCGAAGTTCACCCATTACACTCGCGTAACTTTTTTCTCTGCCCTTTTTCTTCTGCGCAACACCAAAAGCTCGCACGTATTTACTATATAAAAGAAACGACATGGAATTATACGCGCGTTCAAATAACTCATTTACGTCGCTAAAATTTCGTTTAAACGACGAAGCGATAAAAAAAACAGCTCACACACCATAATTTAATGTGTCAGGGGAATTTTACCGTAGACAGATTATTCAATTATGTGCATTATGCCCATCATTTCCCTTACATTGCGTTCCGTCACGTTAGATTTCGAACTGAACATCTTTATGAGATTTCATCAATGGTCTAACGTATTTATGCACAGATTTCCAACATCACAACATAAAACTCCAATTTATAATTCAATAACCGCTTTTTCTCTATCTCGCTCCTTTCACATGGCAACATCGAATCTTCGAATCGAGACATAAACATACAGTCTATAGGGGCGTGTTGCTTTTAGCCGTACATTATTTTGAAACAAAGTTTTTGTTTATAGGTTCACGCTTCCCTTTGCAATACCCAGCAGATTCAAGATATTTTATGAATGCACTTCGAAGACAAAAGCATCACCCCAAAAAATGTATTCCATATAAAAGTCGATTCGAATAAAGAATTAAACGGCGAAAACAGAGCTTGAAAGCCAAATATTTCATTCGAAATCAACTAATAATCTCATGAAAATTTAATATTTCAAAAAGAAATTCACGGTGGCGGCGATAGCGTTCGTTCCTTCGAGCGAATTTTCAGATGACCAGACATTAATTAAAATGGGCAAATTCAATTTCATGATTGAAGTGAAAGAAAATCGCCCAAATGAATAGAAATTCATCTTCGAAAAAATTCAAAAGCGGCAATGCAATCGTACAACCAACTGTCTGGATCTATATAATTCATCGTAATGCTGGGGCATATGGAAAGGAGGTGAGACCGAATGCAATATATTTCAGCCTCGAACAATGGTTGTTAATTTAAAAAATCAGAGATTCAAACTGTCAAAAAACTTGTGCTTTATATAATTAACTTTCATTTAAATGAATTATATTCGCACCGCTTTGTTTCCACCGTAATTTATGGCTTTGGTCTGGGATGGCTTTTGAGCGCGCTACCAACCAACCAGCCAGTCAGCCAATTATGCCATCCATTCGGTATGTTAATAAAGCATTGAAAAAAAAATTATGCAGAAAAATTTATATCGATGGCAAATTCTGCGGTAGTTGCAAATTATGTTCGGTATGTAGAACATCTTTGGCATTTAAAGATATATGAACTCATTGGTCTATTGACTAAAAAAAAACATCACGCTTATGAATTCCAACGCTGTTCTTTGTTATAATTTTCATTAGTTCTTCACTTTTTTTTTCTGCCGGTTCGTTCATTGATTGCTTGCTTCACCACCATGAATAGAGCGAAATATGAAAAGGCAAAAATCATTCGTTGAATGTATGCCAGTGTTTAGCGTGCGAAGGTATACTAAAGATAACAGATTTGTGTATGTTTCATTGAAAAAGTATTCGTACAGTCATGCACTCTCTCGGTTTCAATTTCAATGGATGGATATTGAATGGGATTTATTTGTGGCTTTCCGCTTCACTTGCTCCTATTTAGATTGTACATGATTGATTTCGCTGGTAGTAAGGTGAGTACATCAAAAATCCATATTCATAGTTGGCCAAAAAAAATTGGATTAGATTGAGGTAACGGCAACCGCTGGTACTTTGTTTTAGATTTGAAATTCGACAACTTGTGCAATATCCAGTCAATGACAGATAGCTTAGGATATATGCTGGGCATAGGAACTCAGCAAGCTGAGATTGGGACGTTTGTGACTTTGGATTTTGTGACTTGCTATTCGTGCAAATTTATGTGGAATTTTGGTGGAGTGTTGATGGTGTCATGGAGTGTAATGGAAAATGTGTTCCAAACTCCTCTCCATCATAAATTTGTTTGAATAGCACGTCACAAAGTCAAAATATCCCAATCTCAGCTTGCTGAGTTTCTATGCTCAGCATATATCCTCAGCTATCTGTCATTGACTGGCAATATCATCTCTGTTCTCTCGCTCTCCCTTTTTGCTCGCGAAGCAAAGCAAATGTCAGAGAATGCTGTGCTGAAAAAGTGAATTCAATGCAGGGACTGCAGGGTATTTGTTGAGTGAAAAATTATTGCCACTATTCGCGAATTCCGTTCGTATTTTTTTTGCGGGCGCGTACGCGGGCTAATGACTTTTTCGACGATATAATTCGGTTGTACGTTTTCATAGCCGCGTGTATTTATTGATTTGTCGGAACTGGTACAATGTGTTTATAAGTAAATTTCGTTGGCTTTCAGTTCATTTTTTCCTGGTGGATGGTTGCAACTGAAATGCGATGAATCCTGTGTTTTTTTGGCCGTCGTTCTTGTTGCGATTTCCTTTTGGCTCACAAACCCGAGAGAAATCAGGTATATACATGTTGTTGAATATGCGGTGGCATAAATTCAAATGCAAAAGCAACACCATAAAAAAAGCGCATCGCCATAAAGTTGATGTTGTACAGCGTACCTAATCGCTTTTATCTATTTTTTGTTGCCATAAAGATCCATTTGACGATTCTGGTTTTTATCACACATCCAACATTGAACATTAGCGACAAGGCTAGGGCAAAGTGGTAGAACGAACGATATAGAGACACAGAAAAATACGTGTGTACAAAGTGTCGGTGTCCATTGAGCATGTGTTTGCAGAGTGTGTATTAAAGTGTCGTGCACATCTTTGTGCCAAAGCACGAGGTGAGAATGTTATTGTTGCTACGTGAGAAACAGAAATGCATTTCAATTACGATTTTACGGAGAAACGATCCAGTTCGCTTGCTCTCAGACGTCGCAACCGGTACGCAATTGCTCGCTTGTGTTTGTGTTTATGTACGGGTGTGAGCGCGCACGAATGGGCACACCGGAGTGGGAAAAAGGGAAAAGAAGAGAGAGAGAGAGAGAGAGAGAGAGGAAGAAGAAAAAAAAGGTAAAGCCATTCCAATGGACGATATGGCTTACACGATTATTACGTATAAAATCAGTCCATTGCCCATTTATCTCCGTGTAAAACGAACTATAAATAGCTGCCGCTGGATAAAGCGGAAAGTGACAATAAAACAAGCAACATTGCAGCTCTCTCCAGCGCAAAAAAAATGAAGAAGAAGAGAGGGACACACTGAAAAAGCACATGAGAGAACGGCTTAATGCCTAAGCCAACAAAGAGGATACACGGAAATAAAGCAAACGGCAACACGGTTTAATGATGGAATGGAACTTTTTTGAATGGGTGTGGATTTAAAAACACTAATTCGCTTTCATTCCACGCAACTTTCGGAATGTATCTAGCGTTTCATCGCATCCAACCAACGAAAGAAAGAAAGAACGAATAAACGAGGCTGTAATAAATGAAATTAAATTTTTAGTAGAAATGTTATAAAACATGCCATGTGTTGACAGGCATTCTTCCTTTGCTTTGTCACTGCATTTATCTCGGCATAATCGCCTTGAGAGCGAGGGCGGGATGGGAAACAACAACATTGAGACAGGGAAAATACGGAGAAAAATCTCTGTCCCTTTTAACTTGTTTACATTGCAGGTTGACGTCTTTTTCTTCGTTTTGACCATTTTTTTGGCCAGTTGCGTGATCGCCAAAGACAGAATGAAGGGCATGCTGTTGCTGTTGCACAAATGTTTACGAATTTGGTGCCATGGAGTAGCACATGAAATATCGACCAGCTCATCCTCTTTGGGATCGTGACGAAGTCTACAGTCTACACTCTGACGCAGATTTTTATGACGTTCACTAAGTCTCAACTCGTGTCTATTTCAGCCCTAACGTTAAATACAGAAAAGCAACGTACGAAATCTCGGCTCAATGAACGGTAAATTGATTAGTACTAATTTTAAGCCCAAACATAAAGAAATTTATAGCGCTGACGATGCTGACACAAACACTTTTTCTCACCACTATTCATTCGGGTCGTATAAATATCATATAAAAAATATGTTTGTGTGCGGCGACGGCGTTTTTTTCTTCGCTCTCTTGTGCGTGATTCATAAACGAAAAGCGAATCAAATACGATATTTCCCCAATGCCACGACGCGCACACCATTATTACTCTTACCGGATTTCAAGCAATAACACCCTTTTGATACACTCACGCGCGCCATACACAAAAAATGTATGCCAATAAATATGGTGAATGCAAAGCGCGTTCTTTTTTCCTATTAGGTTAAAATGTAGAAAATAATATATCATGGAACAACTAGCAAAAGCTTCGGTTTCAACACGCAGTGATCTCATGGATGTAAATCCCCCATTTAAGGTCAAATTTTATTAGCTGGCGCTGATTTGAATGCGTGGACATCAAAATTAGATTTTGAGCGAATGAAAACGGAATTTTATCGTTAACAAACACACGGTATCACACTGGGATACTATTACAGTGACCTGTAAATCGGCGATTAATGAGGAAAACCCGATGGCACAGCGATATTACATTTTACGCAGCAATTTGTTGGTTTCGGATGAATCGAATGGACATTTGAATGATAGAGTTAAATCAATTTCGTCGTTTGACTCATTTTAAC